ACTCAGAAACCTGGTGGGTAACTAAAACCAACACCCACAAACTTCAGACAAGGCCAATTGAGATTGACATCAAGAAACAGAAATGGAGATTAATTGGCCATGCACTCCACAAGCCTGATTCTAGGTCCTTGACTGGAATCCACAATGGAAGTGAAAAGTGGGTTGACCAAAATACAGATTTGGCACCGAAGTGTTGCCTCAGAGGTGAAGGCAGCCGGCATGACATAGGCCAAGCTGAAGAGGATCATCTGGAACGACATCTGTTGGAGAGGTGTTGATGCACTCCTATGTTCCCCAAGGAATCAAGAGACATAAAGATGTGGTGCACTTACATAAAGTCAAAGTAAAGTAGAGAAAAATTCATCAGAACAATTACCATGAAAGTATAGAGTGAGCACATGGAAGCTACATTAACAATTACAAGTTGGAGCACTAATAAACTTGAAAATTAAATCAGTTTCCTTTCCATTTTACAACTTAGTAATCATGTTGAGTCAGTGTTTATGTTCATCCTGATAATACTGATCCTTTTTTTTTTTTGTATGTTTGTGTCCATGCTAGAAAAACTGAACAGAAAATCTCAGTAACATTAAAGAATAAAAAAGAAAATTACTAAATGTTTAAAACAAGGACAACCATGAAATAAGGTTATATCAACAGTTTTCAACCTTTTTTTATTCTATTTGTCTGAACCAATGATTTGTTACCATATGCCACTGATTTGTTACCATATGCCACTGATTACATTCTACAAAAACAGATCTCTTTATACTATTCTTAATTAAATAGTCGCATCACTAAATCCACTAAATTATACTATATATTTTTTAATTGTATAGCAATAATGACTAATAAAGAATCACTTAGCAATAAAACCAATCACAAAGGTGGATTTGCTTGCTATTTGTTTTGCATGGATTGATTGAGTGATTTGCTTTTTTTTTCATTTTTTTTTTACAGTTTACCAACCCTTTGTAGGTTATTTAAAGCCAAAACATATTTTGAGTCATAGGAATAATTATTTTTTGTGAGTGAACATTGTATTAACAAATCTTTTGAGAATAACAATAATTTTTACATATACAATTCCTACTATTTAACCCATATCTGTGGGGGAGGATATGAATCCATACTTTTCCCAAGGTATTTGTGCATAAGTGAGTGTAAAAACCTAACTGGAATTGAACTCAGCTCTCCGATTTCTCATTGCAAGTCGCTATCCATGACAACATCTGTATATCAAAAGCTTTGTACTAGTATATGGTTTTTTTACAGTGTTCAAAGTGATTTTTGTATCAGTTTTGGGTACATATCACTTTTCATATTGAATGTATGCAAACACTTTTATTTCCTAATTTTATTCAATCTTTCTTGTAAACTGCACAAGAACTTTGACATTCACTTTTATTTTAAGTTTAAGGTATTTTCATCAGGTGTTGAATTTGTCAGAAACAAAGATAAAAAGAGTCCTGAATTGCTATGTAATATCAGTCCTACTATATGGCAATGAATGCTCAACAATTTCCTCACAGATGAAGAGAAAACATATATATGTATGTATGTATATCATTAAAAAATAGTTTTCAACAGATACAGTCTGGGAGAATAGTGCTCAAAAAGTCCTACCAGGATTTATAACTAGTGGCTAGGGATTGAACTCACAATTACTGTCACAAAATTCACAAACCAATGATTGTCCCATGAGACAATCATCTCATGGATTAAAAACTTCATGGAAACAGATTGAGCAATAACTGAGCAGAGCCTAAATATAATATATTATAATAATATTATTAATACAATATCAAAATCTGCTACTCAGAGTTTCATGTAATAACAATCATCAGGTGGATACGTAACAAAATGAAATATATATATATATATATATATATATATATATATATAGTAATAGTAAAAGCTAAAACTTAAAAGATAAAATAGACATATTTTTATGTTTAACGTTGTTATTTTATAGATACAAGTATTTAAGCAAATGCTCTGTTTATGATAAACAGTGACGTTCCATATCACGTGACGTCCGCGTCTCGCGAAGGACGCTACTTGCCAACAAACAGTAATTTTAATTTATTTGTAACAAACAGTTATTTCTGATGAAAAATTGAGGACAATTTGAAATATCCAATATATATATAAATAAATAAATACTTTCATAAAATAAAACATTATAATTTTTAATTTGAAACTTTTTCTATAGATACATATTAAGAAAGTATACGTGACTTCTTCATTATGCTATATATATATATATATATATATATATATATATATATATATATATATATATATATATATATCTCATAGAAAATATACGTGCAGAAATGATTTTGGTAATTGTTAGAGCATTAATCTCATTCTTTTTGTATGTCTTGGGTATGATGATAGACTACATCCAGCAGTAAGGCCTCTGATCAGGAGATTGGAGGTTTTGAGAAATAATGTACCACCTCTTAATTTCTATTGTTCCCAGGTTCAACCTGACCCAGGGTGGTAGCACCTGTTTGGGTCCCAGCTATGGGTAAATAGTGAACCCCTAAATATAAATCAACAGTAGATTTTTATACTAAAATGAGTAACAATACATTCTTATACCAAAATGGCAATCAATGCAACACTAGAAAAAATATAAAAATGTATTTTTATAGTAAAATTACCAACAATATATTTTATCATTGACAAACTATATATCTAAAAAAGCATACCTTTACCCTAAGATAGTTTGCTTTGTTTTACAGCATAATCAACCTCAATGGGTTATTTAATGCTGACAACTTTTTTTTTCTAGTAATATTTTGTTTCATCAAAAAAATATTGCTGGTAATATTTTTTCCTCAAAAATGTATAGCTGGTAATATTATTTTAAAAAAATTTATTGCTTGTAATTTTTTTTTTTTTAAACGTATTGTTGGTAATATTTTTTTCAAAAATATATTGCTGGTAATAGTTTTTTTTCTTCAAAAATTTATTTTTGGTAATAATTTTTTACAAAGTATTTCTGGTATTAAAACACACTTTTACACTCTCATAATGCTTTTTACCTCAGTTTTGGGATTAACTATTTGCCCATAGCTGGGACCCTAACAGGTGCTACCACCCCGGGTCAGGGTGGAGCTGGGAACACCAACAATTAAGAGGTAATTCCACGCTCCTCAAAACCTCCTGATCAGAGGCCTTGCTGTTGGACGTAGTTTATCATCATACCTAGGACAGCTTTACCCTAAGAGTATAAAGTTATATAGAAGGTCTCTCTCATTGAAAGCATAAAATTGATTGTGGGATATTTAGATTTTGGAATTAAATAACCCCATAGAGATGAATATGCCATGAAACAAATTCAACTAAACAAGTTTTTGTTGCAGTTTTTATTACTCCATCCTTTAATCTTATTCTTTCTTATTTCTTCACTGTTGAATCCATATACAAAAAAGTGTGTCTCTTTACTGCAAGGATTTTAACTTTCAGAGAAAAAGACAATGTAAACTCTAAGATTACTTGGTTAAACAAGTCTTGAAATGGTAAACATATTTCTCAAAGTTACAGTCATGTTAATTTTCTAACTAGTATTTCTTTCATCATAATTTCACTTGCTCATTTTCACAACTTTCTGACTGTCACTGTAAGCTGCACAAATCTTAAATTAAGAAGAAACCTCTGGCAAGATATGAACTCAAACTAATTTTCTTCTCAAGCCTATATTAACATATCAGATGACTCACTGATTAGATCAGGGCAATCACTGGCTGATATACAAAATGAACCAAACTGTCACATTAGCAAAATTAGTGAAAACTAAAGAATAAAAATAAAATGATTTCCAGCAAGACTTGAACTTATAGCTTACACCATGTAATCTTGTTTATCATGAAAAGCTTTGATAGCCCAATTGTAAGACTTTGTCTCTGAAAGGTAAGCCCACAAGGTATTGAATGTAAGTCTGAGTTTTATTGGAACCAAATTCATTATTCAGACTTTCTGCTGTTTGCCTTCATGGCTGAAGAATGAATTGGTTAAAAATATTAACGGAAATAAATAAAGAGGAAAATAAAAAAGATTTCATCTCTGAATTCCAAAAACAAATACATGGCAACTTTTTTAAAATTTATAAATAGAACATTTTTGGTAAAGCCATGTTCTTTAGTGAAAAATTGAAAAGAATAAGAATTATTTTCTTGTACATTCTGCATTTATTTTTATAATTAATTACTTTTGTTTTTTTTTTAGTTTTTAATTAGTTCCATGTTGTGTAAATTAAAATAAATTGGTTTGCTATTTTTTTCTTCAGTTTATGTGACTATTTTCATTATAACAGAAAATAAAAATATTCGTCTCTGAATTATGGAAAACATTTCAATTAAGAAATTCACAAAATAGAAACTGAAACCAAATGATACTCAAAAAAAAATGGACAAAAATATATTTCAAGTTACCAGATTAACAAATGGGATGAGGGCATGAGGAAGAAGGCCATTTTCAATAATTTCAAGAATTGTTCTTGGATTCACTTAAATATTTAGTACCTTTGAATCATGTTTTTTTTTATATACTTCTTTTTCTCTCTCCCAATTTTTTCCTAAAAAAGCTTACAATTCAGCTACTAAATTCTTAACAAATCCACAAAAATAACAAGACAAAAATTTGCTTTAATAATTTAACATTATAGTGCAAAGAAAGCTAAATATCAATGGTACAGCCTTTCTAGATTTTTTTATAATAAATTTCACTCAATGCAAGGCTTAAGAGCCATTCATGGTAGAGATTTACTGAGTGAAAAATCTGCCATAATAATTAATCTTTTTTATTTGACCATTTATTTTTTATTATCCTCCATCAAGAAAGCAAATAGATTGTTCATAAAACAAAAAATATTACGATATCTGTTGGGTAATTTAATATTATCAAGCAAATGACCTACGAAAAATGATATGTATCTCCCTTTAAAGTAATCTTTGTGAACTTATCCCAACATCACTTCCATTTTAGGCTTACGGCCATCTCACGTTGATCACCAATTCCTGTACGATCACTAAAGTTAAGCAACGTTGTGCCTAGTTAGTACCTAGATTGGTGACCCGCTTTGAAATACCAGGTGCTGTAAGCTTGGATATGTGGGTGGTGTAATGGGTAATGGCTCAGAATTATTAATCAAAGAGCCGAGTTCCAATTCCAGTTGGGTTCATTATGTTCACTTACATGCAAATACTCATAGGAAAGGTAGGAATCCACTTCTTCTCCCCCAGCTATGGGTTAACTAATAAGAATTGTATCACTAAATCATTATTTAAAAAAAAGATCTTACAATATAAAAATATTTTCTGGCTTTAAATAACCTGCAATGGGTTGATAAGCCATATAAAATGAATCAATAAAACTTCCATTTTACTAAACACCCCACTCTCCACCTCTCCCTGTCCCTTGCAGCTCTCATCAAGTTCCTTCCCTAGATCACTTTCTGTCATCCACCTGCTCAAAATTGCCAGGTATATGCACTGCTTTCCCTTGTCTCTCTTTCCCTCTATTCAACCTGTGAGTATCAGATTCTCCAAGCCCTCCTTCCTCATTATGTGTCCCAGAAACTTCAGCTGTCTCTTTCTGATGTTAAGTATAAGCCTCCTCCTTGTTTTCATCTTCACAAAGACCTCATCGTTGCTCAAACACCCTGTCCATGATATACTTAGCATCCTTCTGTAGAAGCCATCAACTACCTAATGATATTTCTCTTTACTCTGATTCATGATCTGAAATCTCCTCACTTTGTTATTTTATTATACTAAGGTTCACTCAGTACAAATCCTAAGAGCCACTCAAGGTAGAAGGTTGCTGAATGAAATGTGTGATATGAATGTTAAAGGATGTAGTAGGAAGGGAAGAACCTGAGTGAAACATGGAATATGGAGGATATGAAGCTGATTCAACTCAGTGGACACAGCATAGAGGGTCTTGCTTTAAAAATTTGAACTGGTACCACTAAAGAATGAAGCTCATCCAAAGAGTTGCCAGAGATATTATGACAGACTAGGGACTGCAGGATGAATAATAAACCATCACCCACAATTTTGAACTCTGTCAAGAATGGAAAGTGAGTATTGGACACCTCCAGCACTGATATGGTAGTTTTCAACAGTGATTTTAGTTTTGAAAAAATCTGAAAATTACAAATTGAAAAATTTCATCCGGAAGTGTGGGTGAAAAATTAACAGTTAAGATATTCAAAAATATTTCCAGACAATCTATAGAATCCACAGATCATCCTGTAATCTTAGCAATGTCAATCAACAATTTCCTTTGATTGCAACTCACACATCTGGTTAAAAAAAAAAATATTAAACTTGAACCACAGTTGTCCTTCCTCTCAGGCAGTACCTCTCCTGGGGGGAGGGGGTTATTGCTCAATGTCTGAGGTGCTCTCTAATGGTAAAGTACTGAGGGTGTTGCAGCAGTTTTTCTATGGTATTGCCATTAAACCCACTTTAAACTGATCTTATGTCACATTTGGTAGCAATGTAGACACTATGAAAAATACACATAGTCAACATTTTTGTATGTTTTGCTTGTTGAAGCTCTTCCAAAACATGAATGACCTTCAAGGGATTTGTAGACATATTTAAAGTACCAACATTGTTTCAGGACTTTGCTCATTTACTTCTTTAAAAGGTTTCCATACAAACTAGGTTATTTCGCAGTAGAATACATTTTCCACATGTGAAGTAAGGTCCTCTCTGATTGGTTGCTAAAGACTGACAACATACAACTTTTTTTTATTGATTGAATTATCCAAAATTGCTACAGAGAATCTGGAGATTCTATATAATAGAGACATATAATCTTTATAATAAAAATATTACATTATTATTTTGCTCTACTTTGTATTGAGCACTTTAAAAAAAAAAAAAAAAGTAAATGCTACAAGCCGTGTATTTTCACTCCATCTGTTCTTTTTCTTATTTGGATGATTATTTATATATATATATATATATATATATATATATATATATATATATATATATATATATATATATATATATATATTAGAGTGGCCATTTATTTGTGGATACCCATTTACTAGGGCAGGCTAGCCAATTCCTATTGCAGACACTTGCTCAGGCACAGTTGTGTTTGTTCAACACCAACAGAGGCCACCTGTGGTTTGTACTGCAGCTATGCTGAGCAGACCTTAGTTACAGTTTCTGGGAAAAGTGTGTTTATCTAACATGATCAACAATCTGAACAAGGCCAGCATGCTCAAGCCCTCGCCCAGCAATGACTCGTGACTTTGTGCTAGCACAGCTATTGACGGCACCCAAGGTTTCCGTCTACTCAATTTCACTCACAAAGCTTGGGTTAACCAATGGTATGGCTTTCAGGCACTTTCCAAAAGGTGCTACATGCTGGGATCGACCTCCTCCAGTCCAATAACATCAGAAAGTCTCCTTTCTGACAAATCGACTATCATGAGATTCGAATCCAGGTCTCATGGTCAGGAAGCTAATGTTCTAACCACTCAGCCACGTGCCTATATATATATATATATATATATATATATATATATATACACGCATGCACACATTCACACTATTGTGGACTCTCCTGTCATTTTCGACATATGAGGGTCAAGCAGCTCAGTTCTTAGAACTAATATCTAGACTACCTGTACATACTATTTGATTATATTGCTAAAGGCTTGTGCAAAACCAACCACACTTTTCAGAAGAGCTGAATTCAGAGCACTAGTATACAGTATGCCACAAGTTCCCCAAACAACCCTCCGCAGGTTTAAATTCACAGTTGTCTTTCTCTTCTACTGGTTGCCACCCAAAGATATAGGACCCACTAACCAGTATTGCTATTTACCTATAGATGGAGTGATTGGGGAGAAGAACTGGATTCATAACTTTTCCAAGGGTATTTGCGTGTAATTGACCGTGTCTTCAGGAGTGTAGATATACTCACCACGCTTGACCAGTTGCAGGTTGGTGAGGCTATTTAACCCATAGTCAAAGGTTTTGAATTCAGAGTTTCCTTTCCTCTAGACCATTCGCCACCCAAGGCTATAGAACCCAGTCTCTTCTGCTATTGACCCAGAGCTGGAGAGAAAAGAGATGGACTCATGTCTTTCCCAAGGATGTAAGTGGATGTAATGAACTCAACTGGAATTTGAACTTGGCTCTCTGATTCCTTAATCCAAGCCACTATCTATTACTCTACCATGCTATTATATATATATATATATATATATATACATATATTTATTAAAGATATTTTTATGTTTAACATTCTTTTTTATAGATACAAGTATTTAAGTAAATGCTCTGTTTATAATAAACAGTATTAAATAACATTTACCGGCCTGAATGTTCGAGAAATTTTCATAGAAAATATTCGTCCTTTGACAGGATTCGAACCTGCATCCTATACGGAACCGTCATTTACGCTGACGTGCCTTAACTTCTCGGCCACAAAGGAGCGTTCGGTAGGCAAGGTCGAATTTACTGCTTATAAACTTCAATCTTCCATGAATCTCGTACATTCATAACTAACTCTGGCGTATCAAATGTAAACAAATGACGTCATATATTAAGAAATGGACAAAGTCCAACAATTTATTTATTAAAGACATTTTATGTTTAACATTTTTTATAGATACAAGTATTTTTTTCATTTGTTTACATTTGATTTAAATAATATATTCATTTTTATTCATTTTATGGAAGAAAGTTTAATTATAAAATTCGTATTTTTATAGATTAAATTGCATGCAAATTTATAAATGACGGTTCAGTATAGGATAATAGGTTCGAATCTAATATCAAAGGACGAATATTTTGTATGAAAATTTTCGGACATTCAGGCCGGTAAATGTTATTTAATACTGTTTATTATAAACAGAGCATTTACTTAAAAATTTGTATCTATAAAAAAGAACGTTAAACATAAAAAATGTTTTTAATAAATAAATTGTCGGACTTTGTCCATTTCTTAATATATATATATATATATATATATATATATAAAGCTTTTGCTTATCAAAAAGATAGTTGCTGTTTTACAGTTTATAGTGATTTCTAAAACATTGCAATAAACCACTTTCTCATAATTTCCTTGTTGTTGTAGTATAAAGCTGTTACCACCTTAATCAATCTTGACAGGATTGGATTATATATATTGACATGCCAAAGGTCATGAGATAGGCCAGTGAAGTGTAGCAGGTACAAGTGGCCAGAAGACTTCTGGAGAGATTTTGAGCCATTCTGTACACAGCTTACCGATATTTACAGCTAGATGATCTTTACATGTTAACAGACCTCTCTACCATCTCAGTTGAGACCATGGGTAGACATGGCGGCCACACTATTTATCAGAAGTCTCAAGTCTGCTCCTCAAACCAATTTCAGTCAACATCACCCTGATGGCATGGGCATTCTTCTTCTTCTATGTGCCATGTCCCTTCAGGATGTCAGAGATCATGACTCTCCACAACTTCCTGTCCTCTATAACTCTTACTATTTCTTGTCTTTTTGCTATATTTCCTAATTTCTGTTCTGCCAACCATTTACACAAGTTCATTATGTAGATTATATGCTCCTTTCTTCTCTCACTCTTGCCTATCCTATGAGTATTAAATTTTCCAAGCCCTCTTTCCTCATTGTGTCCTAGAAATTTCTGTTATCTCTTTCTGATTCTATATATAAATATCCTTTTTGTTTCCATTTTCTCTAAAACTACTTTTTTGCTACCATTTTCAGTCCATGGTATTCTCAGTATCCTTCTGTAGAACCATATTTCTGTTGTTTTAAGTCTCTTCACCATCTATAAGGAGATTGTCCAGCATTCACTACCATATAGGACTACTGATATTGCTTAGATGTTAAATACTCTTTTCTTTGTTTCTAATGAAATTTTTTTATTTCTTAATAGTTTGCTTAACTTTTGGAAGGCATCTTTCACTATCTCATTGCTTCTTCATATTTCAATGTCATGTTTTTTATCCTCTGTTAAAATATTTCCTAGATATTTAACTTATTACATTTCTTTAATTTTGCTATCTCCAATTTGTAATTTGCATGTGAACATGTTTTGCTGACAACTACGTGTTCTATCT